TACTGTGTCTTGAATGATTTTTTATACAGGCTTGCTATATGAGCTAAATATATTGTACAAGTATGAAAAAGCCCCTGTACTATCCAAGGCTTTATTTAGCTCAATCGAGCCTTACTTGACAGAAGGCGTTTGAAAACAAATGTGAACGATAAATGCCAGCAACCATATCACAAAATCACCACAATACAAACCACCAATGACGCTGTCATTTCAACGTTAAACAGCCGTGTTGAAAGGTCGCTTTAGACGTGAGGTGAAGCTTTGAAGATGTTTCCATCGGGGAGCAGTTATGGCTCCGCAGGAGCGATTTCAACCATATCTGACAATCACCCACAAGTGGACTCTCCTGCTACGTTCATCGGCCCTTTTTATGCCAGGAATACCACGGAGAAATAGATAACAAGTCTATGGATTTTCTGGTGCCTATCAATGCATGCTTGTTATCGCATTATCAATAAATTTCTCAGTAATGCACTAGAACTCAAAAAAATGCTCTTGAGTGGTGAGGACATGAGAGGGGCTTAGCAACACCCAACAAGTTATTGAAGATTGCAAATAGTTTGCACCCGCTTTCGCCAAATATCTATGAGCTGCGAAGGCACGTTTCTATTCTCTTTCTACTATTTTGACCCCTGTTCTTTTGATGCGTATTAACTGGTGGCGCTCATTGATAGCGGCAGAACTGCAGTTTCTTCATTTTCGCGACCTTGTGGTAACGTAACTCTTCACACAATGTCCATGCTTTGGCCCCATCTGGTTTGCCAGAGGCCAGTGTCAAAATAGACGCGCACTTTATCTCATGCGTGCGGTTCCAGGCATACTCGACCGGCACGCAAGGCAACTTTGTTCCGACACAGGGTCATATAGACAAAAAAGTACAGTTTAGATTGGTGGCTTGTTTATTTTCTTGCTGAACTCCAGCTTAATGCGATATGGTGGTTACTGATGGGCTGTGAAGGCCCAGAGCACACGCCATTGCCATGTGCGCAAATAGTGAAAGGCGACCAGTACGTTCGGTTGACTACAACGCATTCTTCAGTCAGACATTGTTCCAGAATGCCGGAAGAATTTTCAAATAAGTGACTTTTGTTAAAAGCACTGGTTTCAAGGTCAAAGTCACAACGGATTGAGACGATCGCGTCCGTTCGCCGGGCCGGCCTGTCACCTTATGGCGTGACATCTTGCGTGCAGCCACCAATGTTTGCAGGCGGTGTTCCACATCTGCGTGGGTTTTTAAACTCAAATAACTATCTTGGAGAGCATTTTGTGCCGTTCACAACCTTGCCCTTCTTAAGACCCAAACCAATCTAGTTGCTGAGCTTTTCGAGGAGCCTATTTCAGGGTCACCCAGTGACGTTATTATCGCATCCTAGACGCGGTAATAACACCACTCAGGTACTAACATTTCATTGGTCATGCGGCGATCAAGGCAAGACAAACTATTGAGTCCTTCATATCTGGTGTTCGTGGGCACGGTCTCCAGTTACAACGACCGTCAATTGACTCTCAATCAATGTTGCACAAGCTACGATGACGTAATCAAACAATGACGTGTTGAGGAGTATATTTACTAAACAGAGAACCTGCGTTGTCTAGAGCAGTTTTTCCACTTAAAAGTATAGAAAAAACTTAAAAGTGAGCTGATTTCATCATATCGGTTACTTGCTTCAATATCTCCAAATGTGGAACATTCCATTTCAAGGGGACACATTGAAGAGAATGTTCCACCTTTGAAAATATTGAAGCAATCATGAGATATGATGAAATAGCCTCATTTGTAACTATCGAGATATATATATATATATATATATATATATATATATGTATATATATACATAAAGTCGAAAAAACTGCACCATACAACAATTATGTATGCAGTAACTATGCTGCTTAATCCGTCATTGTTTGATTGCGTCATGGAATGTTTGTATGAGAGCACTCACTCGTACCTCTTCAATCTCTCGAAATAGCGGCACGGGCTTTGAGTGATCTTCGAGCCGAACATGCTACAAGCTCGCATTTTTGTTCTGTTTCGTTTATATCCATCAATGAGTTTACGATATTTACTTGTACTCACATATTTAGTTATAGCGCTTTTCTTAAATGGAATGTTCCACATTTAAAGATGTTGAAGCAAGCATCAGATATGACGAAACAAGCTCGCTTGTAACTAAGGTATACTTTTTAAACGAAAAGACTGCTCTGGACACCACAATTTCCTGCAGGGTAAATATGCTCCCCAATGCGCCACGGTTTGATCACGTCATCGTGCCTTGCACAATATTGATTGAAAACCAATTGACGACCGCTGTATCTGGAAATCGTGCTCACGAACGCCAGATATGAACGCCTCGATAATCACATTTGTCATGGCTTTGATCGCCGCATGGCTTATGAAATGACAGGACTTGAATGACGTTGTTGTGACGTCATGCATGCTAAGATGACTTTTGAATAGTCTCCCCGACATACCTTTCCCCCCTATTCGTGGGGAGTGTAGCTCAGAACTAGCGGAACTTTGGTCTTAGGAGGGGCAAGGTTGTGAACAGCACCGAAAGGTCTTCAAGGTGGCTATTTCAGTTCAAAACCCCCAATGAATATGGAATACTAACTATAAGTTATTCGATTATAAGTATATTCCTGCAATAAGTAGGAAGAATGCATAACTTCTTGTACTGCGGGACACAAAACGTAATTCGTGTCAGCATCCGACCCTCTTATACTCTGCCTCGGTTTATTCTGAATCGCCGAGACGCCCCGCTTATCCGGGGCAGATTGCATGCGCCAGCTACGAGTAGACCGAGAGGCCGCCTCGACCGGGGCCCAGCGCACAACCCGAGAGGCCCCTGCGCAGACCAAAGCTCGACGGTTGCCCCCCCCCCCTACCCCTCGCTCCAGGCGCATGTATTCTTGCTTCACCTGCATCCACTCTCTTTCAACCCATATCCCTGAAATGATCATTTCGTATGTGCATCGACGCACTCATATTTGAAGAAAGGATTGATTATCTTCCCTTTTGTCACGCTATCCATGGTGAAACGTTGCTCGCCTTGATGTTTCACTTTTGTGAATGAGTTAAGAATACGGGTCTGATTTGCTTCTAGAGGACAATCAATGTTGGATTCCATCGTGGGACTCAGTGAAGGATTTTACCATCGGAGCATTGAATTTTACTAAGCCTCTTTAAATCACCCACGCTCGTGCTCGCACGGAAGTGGCACCACCGATTCTTAGAACAAGTGAATCATAAAAATGCAAGTCCCTCGCCTCCCACCGGATGCCTGTTTACGTGGCTATGGTCCAAGAACATGACGCGGTCTGCCGCCCGCCGTCGGCACGCTCGATATCTGCATGAAAGCGGCGCCGCTGATTCTTAGAACAAGAGAAACAAGAAGAATGGAGCCCCTCCGCTTCCACCGGATGATGCCTGCTTATATGGCTATAAGTCAAGATCATGACGCAGTGTGTTGCCACCCGTCGGCTGGCGACTCAGAGTACGGATCGACTCGGAGACGCCCGATGATGATTGCAACAAAGATCGGGGAGCGATCGGGCGGGGTAAGAGAGAGAGAGAGAGAGAGAGAGAGAGAGAGAGAGAGAGAGAGAGAGAGAGAGAGAGAGAGAGAGAGAGAGAGAGTATATATAGATATATATATATATATATATATATATATATGTGTGCACATGTATATATATATATATATATATATATATATATATATATATATATATATATATGCATATATTTGTATAGATGTATCTATTTGTATACAAATATGAATAACAATGCAAGTAAAAACTCATTATATAACTCATCAAGAAATCAAGTCATCAAGCAAAATTGCTCCACCCGGGCGCGTCGCATTTAAACGGCCACCCGTGCGCGTGCTAATTTCATCTCACCAAAGCTTGCAGCTTTTGTACTAGATGAGCTTTGGCGCTTTAGAAAAAATAAGTGTGCCGAAATTTGGTCCTCGATGAACTTTGTCGCTTACAAACCTTTGTTCTAGAAGAACTTTTGCCTTGATGGCGACTCCCACTTGGTTGCTACGTGCAGGCCGCTTTTCTAACCAACATATAATTTTTCAAGGTAATGATCAGAGCCTTTTGAATGAATGGGTTTCTTGGTCAGAGCTCACGCTAAGCCATTGTGTGAGCCCCGGTTTTTAGCATCCGGTCGTGCGATCTCGTATCAACCGCTCGACTGGCGACCGCTGCCACTGGCCGCAGGCTGTGGCTGCCAAGGCCAAATAGTGAGCGCCTAAAGCGACTCAAACCTTTTCCGTCATGAGTGCATGAATCCGAAGGCAAGCGCTCTAACAAATTGAGCTACCGAGACGGTCAAACATCTCCGCCCATTGTACGGTGTGTTAGTCATTGAACAGGTGACGGTGAGCACTATCATGGCAGTCGGCGCGCCCTAAAATCCCAGTTAACATCAGCACAAACGTTTGTGCCTGAACGACATCTTCCATCAACAAACTTCAATACGACAAACTGGTTCTCACGACCAAATTTTACCCCGGTCAAATTTTTGACCTATTCGAACGTAAGCATGACGTACTTTTGTCCTCAACGAACCTTTGTCCCAGACAGAGTTTTGCCCTATACGAATTTGAAATACGAAAATTTCCCGTGACGAACTTTGTCGTGCACAAACTTCTGCACGTACTTTCGTCTCTTAGACTTAAGTAAGAAGAACTTTATCCTGGGACCTTCCGTCATGTGAATTTTTGCCGGAAAAAACAAGAAAATAAACACATCCTAAACATAACATACAACAGAGCCTGGCGACGAGCCGGGCTAAAACCAGCGCCCAAGTCAGTGTGGCATGGCGCGGCGAGGGACGCCACAGTGAAGGTGCAGCTCGTCGGCTTCCGGGCCCGCTGAAGCTCACCTCCTCGCCAGCTGGGACGCCGCTGCCAGCCAATGGGCGCCCGCCGATGGCCGGCAGCGGTTCGCTATAAAACGGCCGGAGCGGCGGCCGGAGAGGAGTTCGCCGGGCCAGCCCCGATAGGACGAGACATGCGTTACTTGGCCCTGTTCGTCGCCCTGATGGGCCTTGCTGGCTTCGCCAGCGCCCAGGGCAGTGAGAGAATCCGTGAGTAGTATTGTACAGGGATCGGTGAGCAGTTGTCGCTGCTGGCCAAGGGCTGCAGACTGCAACTTTGTATCCATGCAAAATGTAACTGCTGTGCGAACTTCATTACCTTGCAAAAATATGATTAAAATATGAATAGACAGGCCCATGATATACTGTACCATTAACACAACAGATAACTTTGGATGTTTTGCAGCGCCTGAGAAGCTCTAATACTCATAAAATATGTCTTGGCCGCGCCAAATGCAGACCTCCTGCCTACCGTGTGCAAAATATCGTGCGGTGCGTAGGGTTTACCTGTGCTCTTATGACTGATTCAAAAGTATGGTTTGGAAACCTTTTCCTAGCCTGACAAAACGGCACCCAGCTTTGAAAATTGCCCGAGACGGGTGGTGCGACAAAGACCTAGCCGGCCGGCGCACCTTCGCCTTTCCTCATAGCCTTGATAAATTAGACGATTTGGGCCGGTCCCTACGGCTTTCGCAGAGTGCACCCGACTTCTCCTGTGGCGCTGGATTGGATCAGATCGGATGAGACCAGGTCAGGTGGGTTCTGAAGGGTGGGTGTCCCCCACACAGTGCAGCCCGGCGAGAGCCGCCGCCGTAACCGGTGGCTGTTCGGTTCCAGCGACCATCTACCGCAACCAGTACGAGTACCGCGCGGATGTGTCGTGCCCGGTCGAGTACGTCGAAGACCTGTCCGCCACGCCGCGTCCCGGCTACCGCGTCTGCACCAAGGGAAACATCGCTAGTGAGTGCTGAGCGGTGGAAGTGTCGGCGCCCGCTGTGTGCGCGCCCGGCTGTCGTGGGCGCTCCACGTGCTCCGGTGTGCAGCGTTCAGTTGAGGCGCAAACTACCTGCTGGGCTGGGCTGGGTGAACTCGGCTCGTACCGGGTGAACGCCAAGTGAAGCAGCCGGCGATAGCCTGAAGCCAGCGTTCAGCGCAAACGACAGATTATTCTGAGGTTGATTTAGCTTTTGTGTGGTATGAGTTCAGCCGACGCAGTCCCACGGCTAAGTGCGACGCGCTCTCGAATGGTGTATGCCTTAAATGACGTCTTGGCCCGGTGGCGCTTGTAGTCCCGACTTCGGGCATGTACTTCGCGCTATTCGTGTTACCAGCGTCTTCCTCTCCTGCGCAGATTGCCCGCAAGGTTCCGTTTGGTACGCCAACATCCCAGGAAGGTGCCAGAAGTGCGTGTGTGACACGGCGCAGGGCTCGCTCTATGTGGCACACTGCAACAAGGTGGACTGCGACACGCTGCCCGAACGCTCCCCCATCCCGGGTACCGGCATCTTGAGTAAGTGCGATACGTGCTGGCGGATGACGGATCCGTGAAACTGTGTGCCTCGCGAGACGCGACCTTGAATTGTCCTCGCCAGTTACATAGTGTTCTGAAAACGCACAATCCTGACTACAGTAGCCATCACAGGCATTACAGAGCTGACTCGCACACGGTTTCTGGTCGGCCTCTGAGCTGTCTGTGTCCCTCAACTGTTCCACCGGTTTCGAGCCCCAGTGACGCGCACCGGTGGGCCGCGGGCCTCGTGGCCGTTTGTGCGGCACAATGGCGGTGACCGACCGTCCCCACACGAACCCTAATCGTCCCGCGCCGCTCCGCAGAGGAACGCCGCCTTCGACAGAACTGCGGCCGGAGGAAAACGAAGGTCTGCTTAAATGAGTCGTGCAAGTACCTGGCCCGAGACCGCCGCTGCGTGTACTGCGACTGTGAGAACAAAATCACGCTCACCCCTGCCTAACTGAGTCGGACTCGGCCACGAAGCGCAACGCGGCGGCGCCCGCGGCCAGCGCAGATGGCCGCAGCTCCGGCAGCGACAACGTGCGATGACCCGCCGGGGGCCAGCTCAATGGCCCCCGGCCATTGAAATAAATGTTCGTGTCGGATAAAAGACTGTGGTCAGGGCAGGTCGTTTCCTGTAGTCACGGTACGGCGAGTTTTTAATGAAGCCCGGAGAGAGGGGGAAGAGAGAGAGAGAGAGAGAGAGAGAGAGAGAGAGAGAGAGAGAGAGAGAGAGAGAGAGAGAGAGAGAGGGAGAGAGAGAGAGAGAGAGAGAGAGAGAGAGAGAGAGAGAGAGAGAGAGAGAGAGAGAGAGAGAGAGAGAGAGAGAGAGGAGAGAGAGAAAGAGGGGATGAGTGAGAGAGACCGGCGAATGTCAATCTTGGGCTGGTCAGCCACCTCGCATCCCCTACTATGAGACATTCGTAAAGGTGGCGAAGACATGTGGGGCATGAATCAACTACCCCTGGGATCGCCGGGTTTGGGGCCCCATCAACCCCTAGGCACGCATCACAATCATGCCTTTAAACCTGAAGAGTATCACTAAGCATAGTTCCATCCATGTGCTTTAGACAGCGAGCAGCGCAATCCGGCGGACGACTTCGTGGAAGAGAGGAGTAGTGCCGTGCGATGCCTCCGACCCGTGGAGTACGCCACCGTTCGCATATAGCAATCCGAGTTTTCTATAAGGGGATGGCACGAACATGTGTCTTCTTGGGCATATCTCACATCAGGTCAAACAGTATGCTGCCACCCGAGTTTATTGTACCTGTGACAATTACACGCTTGATAAAACACTCCACGCTAGTACGCTAGTGGCACACCGGACGGCACACGTAGCATCGCGAACCAAACGCACAAACGACTAGAGCACCACTATATCACGGCCAGCCACACGAGCGCTGCTGTCCTGTGACGCGAAAACGAGCCGGGAATGGCGCGCAGTCACAGTCCGCAGTCCGCGAGCAAGTCACAATGTCCCACCACAGCCGAACATGCGTCTGCGGCTGTGCAGTTGGGCCGTTCCGACTGCTGCACGCGGCACGGGCAGCGCTTGTCAGGCCGAGGGCCGTCTCGCCCCGCTGATCCCCAACCCCGGTCACCGCAGCCAGCGTCACCCGCCCGCCACTGCCGGCGCCAGATGGCCGGCCCCGCGGCCCCAAGCACCACTGGCGATGGGCCGGGTTCGGCTGTCTCCACCTGCCGGGACGAACTACACGTCAAGTTCCGGCCGTCAGAACGGTGTCTAGCGGATGACATATTATATAGATGGCAGCACCGTCGTTCGCAACCTTTAGTCACGCAATCACGTATTTCCTATTAGGATTCTGATGGGAAAATACGTAAGTCATGAATTAATTAACATATCAATTGATGACAACATACGTAATAAAGGATGATGAGCACCAACTTGCTCAGCATCGCTTCTCGCCAAATTGAATGTTCACATCCGCTCGGGTGGGGAGCCAAATTGCCCCCCCCCCCAAAAGGTTTTTCAAGAATGGCTTCCGAATGGAGCGGTGTAGCCGCGTCAAATTTTGCATAGCTGTAAACAATGGAATATCGGATCGTTTGGAATCAAAAATTTAGATGTACCTTGTGTGGTCGCTGACCTGAATCAGGTCAAAATCAGGTTATGGTTTCAGCGAAGACAATTTCTAGGCAATCCTTCAATTTGATCCAACAGCGAAGTGTTAAACAAAGCCATGCATCTCTGGGATGCCTTCTTAGGCAACAGAACCGTTGAATAAGGAAACTAAATTGAACTCAGGTCATATATAAAGGTCAGGCCAAGGTCAAAACCAATCTGTTTTGTTACTCTAGGGCTTGCCGTATGGGATAGTTTCCGGTGCTCATTTCGAATTTATTGATGGCAGGAACCGCCTTATACATCATCCATGAAATTCTTAGAGATCAGAAAAGGTCATTGGCCTGAAATGACCTAAGTCAACATTTTTTTTTAAAAAAAAGATCTTGCCTAGCGTAATCTTGTCACTTATTCAAATGCAAAACTCAAAGCAATCTTGCATGACCTTGGTCACCATGGTCGCTATGACAAGGTCACCATGACCTTGAAAGGATCAAACGTCACTGACCTTAAACGAGCATGTGGCCTTTTGCCTAGAAACGGTTATCTAAGTTCTGGGGGCACTTTGGAGACGAACCTGGAATTTGACCTTGTATGACCTTATTCAACCAGAAGGTCATGACCTAGGAACTTGAAATTTTGACCTAAGTGAGTCCACGTACAGATCAACACACTCTGTAAATTTGGTGTCTCTAGTTTTCTTAGTTCCCGAGATCTCAGGGGATGGGGTCAAATTGACCCCCAACCGAGTAAAAGGTATCCAGCCGGCCACCCGGGCGCGTGTTAAGCGAAAGGCCGCAGCAGTGCAATACCTTGCATCGGTGAAATATCCCATCACTCACACAGGTTTACAAATTGTCTGGCCGACACCGACCAACCTGAATGTGGCAGGACGTTACGAGCCCCCTCCCCCCCCCCCCCCCCCCCCCCTCCCTCTGCTTTGTTAGTAGTGTTAGTAGCATTGTGTTAGGCACTACTCGTGGTGCAGCAGAATTGCGGTGGCTTGTCCGATGCTGGCAAACGCATATCAGCGTGTGTGTCACTAACACACAGCCAATCTTTTTCGACGGCACGTCGAGCACGTTTCTATACAGGACGGAAGGCTGTAAACAGCCAGATACCTGGATCAGGGGCGGAATTAATGTCATATATTAGAGAGTCAGTTGGGGAGAACTTTGCACTGCGAGACACATAATGAACAGCTGAGAGCCCAGAACGATCGCATAAGGTCATCATCAAGTTGGGAGCGGTTGAACGCTATCTCACGCACCAAGCACTCTGCTTTCCAAGCCAGCTCCCACTGCAAAGCAGAGAAGAGCCTACACTCAGAGCGGCGTTGGCTGATCCAGCGCGGAGCGAGTCGGCTCAGAGCAGGGCTGCAAGGCCTGACCGACCGTACCAGACCGGCAGTCAGTAGCACCAGACCACGGCATCAGGCCGGCGGCCAGCCACGTCACAGGACTAGAGGCGGTCCGCAGCCAACCATGTCAGGGGACGACACCAGGCCGGCGTCTAGCCACGTCACAGGACAAGAGGCAGCCCGCAGCCAATCATGTCAGGAGACAACACCATGCCGGCGGCCAGCCACGTCACAGGACGAGAGCCGGTCCGCAGCCAATCATGCCAGGAGAAGACACCAGGCCGGGGGTCAGCCACGTCACAGAACGAGAGCCGGTCCGCAGCCAATCATGCCAGGAGAAGACACCAGGCCGGCGGCCAGCCACGTCACAGGACGAGAGCCGGCCCGCAGCCAATCATGCCAGGAGAAGACACCAGGCCGGCGGCCAGCCACGTCACAGGACGAGAGCCGGTCCGCAGCCAATCATGCCAGAAGAAGACACCAAGCCGGCATCCAGCCACGTCACAGGACGAGAGCCGGCCCGCAGCCAATCATGCCAGGAGAAGACACCAGGCCGGCGGCCAGCCACGTCACAGGACGAGAGCCGGCCCGCAGCCAATCATGCCAGGAGAAGACACCAGGCCGGCATCCAGCCACGTCACAGGATGAGAGCCGGCCACCACACAATCATGTCAGGAGAAGATACCAGGCCGGCGACCGGCCACGTCACAGGACGTCCACAGGAAATGTGCAGAGCAGTAGTGAGAAACCTGAACAGCTGGAGCTGGCGGACGGCACGCCGAAAGCGACAAAAGGAGATGCCCGGGCAGCGGCCGGGACGGGGACGAACGAGGCACAATCGCCCCCAACGGCCCCCTAGTGACGAGCCCGCACTCGGACACCGCTGCCGGTGACCCAGCACCGCCTGGCGGCCAGCCGACCCGTCTGTCGCACTCACCCAGCCGGTCCCCGCGGGCCGTGCCGTGCCACCGGCTCATCCCCGGCCGGTGAGCAGCGCCCAGAGCGCGCAGCCGGCGCGCAGCTGCAGCACCAAAGAGCCGAGGAAGAACGCCTGCCGCAGCAGCCAGCCCAACATGTCCTGCTGGAGACTGCGCGGCGGCAGCGGCGGCCGGTCGGCGTCGCGGCGTCCGCCCGCCAGCGGCGGGAACCGGCCCGTCCGGTAGTACTCGGCCAGCGCCGCCTCCTTCTCGCAGAAGAGGCCGTACAGCCAGCCGGTGAGGCCCTCGGTGTCCGTCGGTACCTGCGGAAGTGGGGCTATTACGCTGGGGCCGGTCTACTCGCCACCAGCCGAGGTCCGGTCCGCTTCGGCTCAGCTGGCGAGCTCGCGGGGTGGCTCAGATCGGATCAGCGAGCTAGGTGGCCGGAAGGACCGAAGACGCGCCAGATCAGGCACCGACACCACGCACACCACAGAAAGGCCGCCGTGCCTCCCCCAGCGGGGTGACACGTCAAAGCACTGCCCGCCATGAAGAACACCTTAAACACTTGCAGGCATCTGCTGGGGGTACTCTGGTGTCACGCACATCGCAGAATGCCATCCATATTCCACTGGTTGCCTTCATCCCGTCCAGTGCGAACGCAGGGATGAGTGACTGCCGCGCGTGGCAGGCAGCGCCCGCTCCAATGCGGCCGCCCTTGCGCGCGGTGTAGACAGCGGCCCCAGAGGTGATGGTACCCGTCACACAGTGTGGACGGCGAGTCCAGAGGCGACCGGGGCATGCCGGCCGACACTGACCTGGTCGATGCTGTACACGCGGTAGTAGAGGTACACCTTGCAGGGCGGCAGCGAGCCGGCCATGACGTCCAGCAGGTGGAGCGGTCGGTCCGGCTCCGGATACGCCACCGTCACGTCCACCACCCAGCGCAGGCCGGCGCGGCTCGGCCGATCCCCTGGTGACGCAGGGCCGCGTGCCATCACAACGCGCCCGGCCAAACATCACAGCAAGCGAGACGACACAGCACACCCGCCCCGCTCTGCCGCTGCCGACACTGCGGCGTGTGCGCTCTCAGTCCGAGCGCTCCTCGCCCGCCATAGCCGGGCGCCCGGCCGGACACTGACCGTGGCCATTGGCGTGGCCGGCTTTCGGCCTGCTGGCCGGCCTCAGCTGGTCGAGCACGGCGCGCGCGGCGCCCAGCCGCGGTAGCGTCACGTGCTGCAGGTGCGGCAGGCCTTGCTTCTGCGCGAACCTGCCGGCAGGCGCGCGCTGTCGTGTCAGAGGCAGAGGGTGCCGAGGTGGCTGCTGCCGACCGGCCGGTCAGTGGTAGGGGGCGCCACGCTCAGCGCCCGCCCGTCTTCAGGCTTAGGCACTGCAGTAAGCTGCACAACGGAGCAATTGACAACGTTGACGTGGGATTTGTTTAAAGCGAGTGTCTTAGGTCAGCCATGCACCTTATTCTCTTTTGGCGACAGCATCATGCTAAAGGAATGCAGTGCTACATGTGAGAATGGGAAATATGTACGCCACCACAACATTGGCCTGCCATCTCGCGGTAAGCTGCATAAATTGCCTGCTATTAAGTTGTTTAATAACCAAAGTAATACAAACAACCTTGTTGCACAAATATATCTAACTTGCATCAAAATATTCAATAACAACTTCAATACATTTTATAACTCAATTAACTCAAATTACTTTTGTCCATGCCTGTGGGCAATGGCCTCAGCGTATAGATAAGTGCGGACAGTTGGATGTTACAGCCACCTGCAATGTGCACCGCCATAGCGAGCCGTACCGCCGCACGGAGACATTACCTCTGGCTGGCTTCCCGGCGTTTTCGTAAGAATCCGCCTTCTGGAAAAAGTAGTATCCACTTCCTATCCAAAGATAAGTATTGCTTTGCGAGGAATTCCTTCAGTTCTTCCACTGATTTTTCCCTCTTGTCTTTTCCCTGGAAAAATGCCGTGGTAAAAAAATACCCAAAACACAAAGCACTGACCCATAAACAAGAACAGCCTTCGCCAGACGTCCTCTAATCCCTCACTGCATCCCGGACACCAAGACAGTGTCAAGGACACTGATGCCGGCCTTAGTTGCCACAAACACATCTTGGCTGGTCACTGGTGGCGTCTTTATGTAAACTGTAAAGGCATGCATACTTGCAATCTTCTTCTCAAAATATTTACTCGATGCGTAACAAACAAATATGTAGCCAGATATTCCGTTCTGCAGTCCCAGCCCACCGCTGAGCGAGCCGCCGCAGCTCACCGACTCAACGAAGAAGTCTCCGCGGATCTGTGACACGACGCCGAAGTGGGTCCACCGGAACATGGCGTCCATGATCCACATGCTGTGGTCGGCAGCGTAGCGGCGCGAGGACAGCATGGCCATCAGCACCGGCACGTCGGCTGTCGACTGGTGGTTGGCCAGAAACAGGCACCTGTCGCCCAACAGGTCGTCGATCGTGTCCCCCAGCTCCGTCACTGCGGCGCACAAAGGTGTCGAGCGCTGTCACTGCCGCACCGGACGCCAACCACAGCTGTGGCTACAATGCGGTCACTTGTCCATCTCCATTATCATGATGTAACGAACTATCCATATCTAGCCTCGCTGCGATTATGCTTACCAGCAAAACTCATTAAGCGTATGTATTTTGTATCTAACCATTGCAGTGGTTGAGCAAGCCAGAGGAAATAGCTGCAGTGCAATACAATTTCAAGGCATTCAATGAAAGCACCATCTCGAAATGTGTGGCGACATTCCTGTCGTGGAAATGTAGCGCTTCTATGCTACAATACGAAGTGTAATGCATGGCAGGAGTACGCTTTTGCCGTATCATGACATTTATATTACAACACTATATGAGTTAAGGAGAATGCTCAACTTTTTAAAATATTGTAACAAGCATCATATATGATGAAATTAGCATACTTATAATTATTGATGCATACTTAAGTGTAAAAACTATTCTGGACGATACAATTGCTCTATTTGGTGATTATGCTCTTCAACGCATCATTGATTGTGGTTTCAACCTTGCACAGCAATGATTGAGAACCATTTGACCGCCGATATGTCTGGGAGCCGTGCTCACGAACGTCAGATATGAACAACTTGACAACTATATTTGTATTGGTCCTGATCGCCGCATAATCAATGGAATGACACAATTTCAATGACGTTATTACGGAGTCATGGATGCTTGGGTGACTATGGCATCGTCTGCGAAAGTCTGCAGTTTCGGGGGCGTGTTATTAAGAAACTATATGGGTTTGGTTGTTAACAAGGGCAGAGATGTGAACTGCGCCGAATGGTCTTAAAAGGAGTGCGTCTAGTGTTTTCGATTTTCCAAATAAACGCCTACGGAGAGTTTTGCAGCTAGCTATGGTTAATTTTGGCGCTTTAATGTGTGTTTTGGTCTTGCAGCATTTTTTTTATTACTTATTTTCATAGCTCGTATCGATGGCTGAACGAACGCTGAATGTATCGATGGCTTGCGTGAACAAATACAATGCTAAAAAATGAACCAATCAGCGGGCAGAAAAGGACGAATGCACGGGCTGATGTGTGGCAGGTAACTGTGTGCAAGTGCCATGGCCATTATTTTCGTTGCTACGGTCTCGTGCGTATAGGGAGAACGCTGAAAGTATGCAGCGGTGCGCACTTAAAGGTCTCTTGCTCAATTCGAGACGGAAAAATATGATACCCTGCACATGCCTGGTGTACCAGCCACATGGCCGCAACAATTTCAGCGCATGTGCCTTTTTATTTCAGTGCACGTTGAATTCGGTGCACGTGCATTTGGAATTCGGTCATTAATTTCAGGGTAAAGGAAGTCGCGGTCAAAACAACTCAGAACAATCGCATTCTCCTAGAGTCTAGTGCAGTCTAGTGCTAGCAATCGACATCCTCGAAAAGCCATTGACTAGAGCTAACAATACCTTCTCAATGAAGTCGATGTGTTTAGTAATGAATATCGCTTGGGGGCTATCCAATAATTTCGTTCTTCTATACAAACCAAGGCAAATTTGGGGGTCGTGGCAATATCTCGCCAGTGGAGGCGAAATGGTAGAAACCACAATGACACCAAAAATTATTAATGGAAATTCCCTATCATCCTACATGCAAAGTTAAAAATCCCAACTCAACTGGACGCACTACCTTTAATATGGTTAGTTCAGTTCAAAACCCCATAAGAATATGAAACACTCCCGGTAATGCCTGGTATGAACAAAAAACATCCTAGCTCCTGGCTTTTCCTCGCTGTGCCTAGACCTTAGCAGATGCATGCCACGGGGTTAAGAGATGCACCCCTCCGAGCAGCGGCAGCGGCGGGAGCGGGTCTGCGATCTCACAGTCATAGCCGGCCGTGTAGCTGAGGATGCCGACCATCTGCACCAGGCTGTGGAAGAGGAAGCCCTCGAACCACCAGTAGAAGTGTGGCGCCAGCCAGTGCAGCGGCGACAGCAGCGCCATCCACACCAGGTACACCGGAATGGCATACAGGTTGTTCAGCAGGAACAGCAGCACCCGGCTGGCGCATCGTGCGCTGTGCAGGCACCTGGCGGAGCAAAGCATGAGCGTCACACGCGGCTGTACACTGGGGGGGGGGGGGGGAATACGAGCGTCGCACACGACTGTACACTGCAGGCACCTGGGGGAGCGAGACATGAGCGTCACACGCGGCTGTACACTGGGGGGGGGGGGGGATACGAGCGTCGCACACGACTGTACACTGCAGGCACCTGGGGAGCGAGACATGAGCGTCACACGCGCTGTACACTGGGGGGGGGGGGGGGGGGAATACGAGCGTCGCACACGACTGTACACTGCAGGCACCTGGGGGAGCGAGACATGAGCATCACACGCGACTGTACACTGGGGGGGGGGGGGGGGGAATACGAGCGTCGCACACGACTGTACACTGCAGGCACCTGGGGGAGCGAGACATGAGCATCACACGCGACTCACACTGTGCCGGGCACGACACCTCGGCTCCAGGCGGCAGAGTCGGCTGCCGCGCGGGGCCCGACCTCGCATGGAGT